TGAGCACCCACTCGTCACTGCATGTGAGAAAAACAGTGAGACGGATATTATTGTTTCCAACTTTCTCCCTGACTGATTATTTTACTTGTAAATATTGCCAAATGGTCTGGACAGAACGAGTTTAAGAGCTTTTCTCTGAAAACAGCTGCAGCAGCCCAACACAGCACAATGTGAGCAATAAGAGCAACATAAAACTTACCTAAATTACATAAAACTGAGCCGAAAATCAGATTCATCCAATCATTCACTGATTCAACCCATTCAGTGCACAGTAATTTAAAAATGTAGTGAAACATTGGGGTTTAAACATCTTCTCTGCTAAGTCTAACTAGTTATAATAATAAGTTCATTGAGGTTTGGGGGGGAAATTGTGGATTTTATTGAAGCAAACCCGAGTAGCGTGTGAATCTGAAACAGTAAATGAAAGGTCGTCTCTACAGTTAAATGTTTTATTGACCCATCCATCAACCCGGGCTGCTTCACACGTCCAACTGTTAGTAAATTTTATGGCTCTGCAGTAAATTACTCCCACTTCTGCTCCCAACTGACCAGCGTCATGGCTTCTAAACATATAGTTTTGCTCCGCTGGCTGAAATGACTGATGCTTTTGTTTATCTTGGAGAGCCGATCTGGGATATTCATGTTTCCCAGAAGACGAGTCCTCTGGGTTTTTGGGAACCAACTGACTTTTCCTTAAGCAGTATATATTAATTAATAATTTAACGTCTCCAACATTTTGCCTTGGGTATATAAGATGGGAGAAATAAATGGCCCTGTTTGACCTTCATGCAGTAGCTCCTCAAATCTGTCTCCCTTGAAAATATAGTGTTACATGGAGAGTGGCCAATGAGTGATTCATTGCCTCTAACAAGCCAAATGTACAACAAAGTGCCTCTGCCAGAAAACAGAGACAGTGGGATATTTTACAAAGTAAGCCTGTGCATTGAGCTGCAGTTATTTTGGTAGGCTTGGCTAATGGATGCTTCACACATCCAGATTGGACGGACTCTTATTTTTAAAATGACTGCCACAACTTTAGCTTTTTACTCGAATCCGATCAGCAGTAACTCTCACACGATGAATCACACAGAGCTGCGCAAAAATATTACTACAGTACATATAAAACACCCACATCTTGCAGCCATGCTTCTGCCTTGTTTCACCTTCACACCTGTTTCAGAGGGCATGAAGTTTCCGAGGGCTGTAGTAAAACGAAGTTCAAGCAATAACAGCATCTAAGACTAATATCATTCTCCAAATGGCCTAGTTCACTGTTATATTACCATTTATGTATTACAGATGAACAAACATGCTGTGTGGCAGTTGGCTAAAATGTTTTTTCACACCTACTTTTACTTTTTGGTTTATCTTTAGTTATAAAAACTCAGTCTTATGTAATAATCTTGGTGTGCAGCAATTATTTTGCATTATTATTGATAGTATTTTAATTCATTTATATCATCAAAGAATTATTACAAAGTTAAGAAACAGATAAAGAGGCAATGTGGAATACCTTTTGATTAAAGATTGGGATATTTTCCAGGGTTGTCTTAAGCAAGGTGCCTGAATTGGTAACTAGTCCACTGAAAGATTAGGTGTGCTACTTTTTACTAGTAAGCTGTCGGGTTAAAGATCAACTAATGTCCAATTTCATCACATCAGACATTTGTACTTTCATATGCAGCTCTGTCAGTTCTGAAATCGGTTGAATACAACCAAGAATGTATGAACTAACAGTCACTTCTATAGAAACCCATCAGATTCAAACTCTTGCTTCGGGCCTCAACTTTCTGCTTCCTTGGAGTGGTTTGGCACCAGGTGGTGAGGGTGGAAGCTCACGTTCACCCAGCTGAAAGCTCAGACTTGTGAGTCAGAGCGAAGTCACACATCTTTGGATTAAAGTATGAAGCGCATTAGCGAGTAGACTCCTAATGTGCAGTATGAACTGGAGGAATCATCACAGAAAACCAAACCTGTTTTAGTGTCCATATGGGCAGCTAGATGAAATATATGATGTGTGATTTTGGGCTTTCCAAGACACTCATACGATCAAAGATGGCTGCTGTTGATCCACTAACCAGCCAAGCAATAGGAAACGTGCATATCTACAGTGCAAATCTGAAATTTTAACAAAGATTGTGTGATGTCTCCTCCCTGTGTATTCCACCTCTGTATTATCACGATGCAGGAGGGAGGGTAGTGCAGACGTGCATCTCCGTAGGTGATATCATCGTACAGGCGACATGTTTTGTCGTATCCAGGTTTATAAAGTACACGAAGCACAGTGTGAAGTGCAGTGACTGCTTAAGGCCTCAATCACAGTAGAGGAAAAAATAGATCATCAACCTCCGTGTGACCACAAAAAAAAACATGGTTGGTGAGCGATTGCATTTAAATGGTTTCCCAGACGTTGAGGTTGTGAAGCTCCCTCAACGTCTTGTCGAAGGTAAGTGTGCAACAAGCTTGGAGTAAACTTGGGTTGTGTTCCCTTTTGTGACTTTAGCTGAACCCGGCAACACCAAGAGATTTTGAGACTTGTGCTGTAATGTTGAGAAAAATTCTACTTTTTGAGTTTTCAAATATGTTGCTAAACTTAAAAATTCTGGCCGCTTTTGAAGTTCTACACAAAACTAAGGGAGAAGCTGATCGTTGTGGGGAGTGATCACGTGGTCCAATAATCACCTTGGCTGTTTTGTTTTATTAATAAGTGTAAGGCAAAACTGCTGCTGTGAGGAGTATCACACCTGTAAATACTCTTTGAAAACGTACTCCTACCTGTTTACTTCTGTCATTTAAGAGTTAAGTTTGATTAATTGCACAGTTTTACTAAAGGCTAATCAAAACTCTGTAAGCCCACCTTGTGGTTGATCGGTTGCTGAAAGATCAGGCACGCCTACTGTGAAGCGTTGAAGCAGTGGGTAAAAAAATATCTATATATATCTGTAATACAGTCCCAATCACTTGTTTGTGATTGGATCGTGAGCGACAATCTTTAAACATTACAGCTTTCACTAGATTAGCATTCACTGTGAGTATCAAAGTATCACGAAAAGATGGAAGTGTGATGTGACATTGCAAAAGATGAATGTAGTGGCATCATGAAGCCTCAAACTTAGTATTTTCACTATCGTCATCTTGATATTTGATACAAAATGTGACGGAAGGATCAGTCCGAAGGGAAAACAAAGACATGCATCCTCATTGGCTGGATTATTATGCTGGATGATCCTCCTTTCTAACTCTAATAATAACTATTTTTTACAAAATTGACTTCATGTTTTAATCTATGACCTTAAACTAGTGACTGAACCTAGGAAGTCATCAGGATGGCATTTACTGAGGTCATGGATCATAGGAGCCCACAGTCATTTTCCCATAGACTTCTATAATCTGGACTTCTTTATGGAACCACATGAGTCGCCCCCTGTTGGTCATTATATAAAAATACTGATTTAAGGTTAAAGGCACTTCTATCTTTCATGCTTTCTTTGGATATTGTAGAGGTTTCTCAAATACAGAAGACATTAAAAAAAAAAAGCTCAATAAATTTAGAGTGGGTAGTAGCTAATTCCTCCTCTATTGTGCATCTCAGTTTGGAAACCTTTACACGCAGTGGTTATGTATTGTACCTGCTAATAACTTGTTAGCTCCTGCTCTTTGAATATTTAAAACCAACAGGCACAGGCACGCCATGCAGCTGCTCCTAAAGAGCATGAGTTAAACAGAAAAATCTACAGGTTTTTTCATACTGTTCCCACTCTTTGTCCTTTGGGGTTAACCTGCATGTGAAGACAGGGAGAGGGAGGGGTGGCAAGCTGCGCTTGATGTTAAGTGCTGAACGGTCAGTGACCTTGTATCCGCCAGCCAAACAAACCTGGACATTGCGATAGAGACAGCCTGAATGTGCGGTGACACTGATCTGGATGTGGCTGCTGCTGCAACAGGTTAAATACGCTCTGCAGAAAGCACCTGAGAGCACTCCGGGCTGTGCGTGAGTTTATCTTCACCACAGCTGGAAGAGCATGCATGCAGACTGGTCGGTGCAGTCATTTTCAACATGCAACCATGCAGTCCCCTTGCCACTCGGTGCCCTAGATGAGTCCTTCCACCCTCTTCTTCCCAGCACAGTTTCTGCACCTATTTTAGATTCAAAAATCAGGCCAGGCAGCAGAGCTCAGGGCAGCCGTACATTTCTGTCTCAGCTTTACCGTTCATGCCAAGTTTGTTCGTGCCTCAGAAGCTGGATTGTTACTAATTTAACTGAGCAGCTGTTAAATTAAAAGCGTACATGTTAGAGAAGAGTCCACTCATAAACATATCTGTACTTTGCTTCTTTTCCTTTCGGAATGGGATTGAGGTTGAGGTAAACAGCACACATCTGTTAAATGTCACTGATATAAATGTGGTAATCTCAGTCTGCGGCCATTCATTCAGTCTGCGACTTGGATTTTAGAGCGTAACGATTCAGGCTAATAACGTAACCGGTGGGTTATTTTTAGCCCGTGAAGATGCGCTCAGCAGTGATGGCGATGGCTTCCTCCTCCTCCTACACCACAATGACGTCGTGCTGTTACGCAAAACCAGGGGTTCACCTTTTGTGGACCTACAGCTCCGACACCGCTAGCGTAAATTTCTGGCACAAAACAGGCGCAAGTGCGCAAATAAAACACGCAGAACAACACGAACACATTCCAAGGCGAGGCGGCTTTTAACTTCTGCTTTAGCTTTAATTCCGCATCTGTAACGGCACTTGTCTAAACTTGATGCTGGCACACCCTGGTATGCCCAGAAGCAGGCGGCTGGCCGCCCGCGAGGGCAGCAGGCTCCGGGCATCCCGCTTCATCCTGCTCTGGACCCAGTCGGGGTCGCAGCTCCGCTCACCTGGCGCAGCTCTCCACAAAGTAGAAACCCACATTTCAAAAGCACGGCCACTGACATTATCTGACTACACAGAGACACGGAAATGACAGCATGCCACGAACAAAAAGTGGACACTTAACTATTTGTAGAGGTGCTGGAGACACAGGTCGAGGCATTCCCCCTCCACTTCGTCCTCAGACACCAGGTCCGACAAGGGGCGCATCGGCAGCGGGTCGCCCTCCTGCAGAGGCATCCTCATCTCCCGAATAAAGAGCTCCAAGAACCGTCGGAAGGTTTTCTCCTCTGCTGTAGAGCCGGCCATCATTTCTCATTCCTGGACAGACAGAGACAGCTCCGCCCGTCAGTACACTAACTTTCCGGGCTAAGAAGAGAAGAGTCAGTACACTAACCGAACTAGTTGGACTGACAGTGCAGTACCATACTACCTGAATAAATGTGTACTACCGGAGGAGCAGGGCCGTGGACTACCGACGCGTCTGAAAGCAGCGGACCCGACTGGATGAGCAGACCGTGGCCTCTACGGTTACACTACAGGACGAGCTGTCACAAGCTGGACTGAGCCCCCATTCAGAGCCGAGCGGGAGCGCGCGCCGTGTTATCAGGGATTTCGGATGATCAGAGGGCGGTGACGTCAGAGAGACGACGCCAAAGCGGGGTCGCGAGCGCGCACGCAACGTTGCCTCCTGACGTCCCGAGACCTTTCTGAAGACATGCCATCACGATGAATGTGATAGGTGTTTAAAGTAAACACGAGTGGAGGAAGGAATTCAGATATTTAACTCGAGTACAACAGTACTAACATATCACAGTCAGAATGGATTCACTACATATATATATACACACACAGAGCACTTTATTACAGCTTATACAGAGAACTTTATTATACTATTTAAATGTATTAGTTTTTATGTGTTTTCATTTTGTGAGTTAGTTTTAGTGCTTTTTTTAAATATAACTTTTTCTTAGGTTGTAGTATTCTTGCAGTATTTTTGGGAACAGTACTATGACTATGTTTCAATTTACAGAATTATTAATATATTTTGAGGAGAGCACGATGGCGTCGTCATTAGCACTCTGCACTCCGCACACAGCAAGAATGTCCTGGGGTTTGGATCCACCATCTGGCCGTGGCCTGTCTGTGTGGAGTTTCTGTGTGTGTGGGTTCTCTCCGGGTACTCCGCCTTTCTCCCACAGTCCAAAGACATGCAGTTGGTGAGGTTAGGTTAACTGGTGGTTCTAATAGGACTGAATGTGAGTGTGACTGCTTGTCTGTCTTTCTGTGTTAGCCCTGGCTAGAGACTGAAATGATATACTGTATATATCCACTTGATAAAGAAAATAACAGGACTGATAAAAGCATGTATTTTACTAAACACTGATACCTCAAACAGGAGTTATGACTTAGTTTTTTTTTATCTGGATTTGAACAAACTGTTTCAAAGTCTTAAATAACTAATACTTGTCTACTTACTTTATTTCCTTTCCCCATGAAGACACATCTGGCTAAAGTCCGGAATTCCCAGATGATTTCCCTCTTAGGGATCATTTTGGATTAATTTACTTACAGAGTACATTTCCATGGAGAGAATAGCAGCTTACAGAGCTTAGGAGAAATGTTATAACGGTCAGAAGTGATGTACATGATCACAAGTTGCAGGTATAACCTCGATGTCACAGCACACCCAGCCATACACAGAACACAAACACACACATCTCTACACAGTATATTTTGCATTTTGCAGCCTACATTAGCTTCATTCATATTCATTAAGAATTAAGGCAGTTCTGAAGGCGAAAGGGGCGTTCAAATCAATACTTGCAGAGTGTGCTTAATAAAGTGGCCATGAGTGTATATCCAGATAATTACACAGCTGTCTATTTGTCTATATATATAAAATTGTTCAATTCGAGTAGAATAAAAAACAGAATATTAATGAATATGTTATTTCATCTGAAAGTGTATTTTAGGTCAATCCACTCATCATTGATAACACTAAAAACACATTTTTCCAAAGTAAACAAAAAACATCAAAATTTCAGTACAAGAAAAAACCTCATTGCATTTATGTGACAGCTGCTGTCACTTAAAGATATTAACAGTTAAATGCAAAACAAAAGCAGAGCTAAAACATGAGACTTACTAAAGAAAAAACTTAGAACAAAACTTTAATGATTGTTTATGTTAACTACTTAAAATGGGCAGTTTAATTTTTTTAATTTGTATTATTTATTTTTTTTTACAAATTTAAATTTCAGTCTCACATCATTCCTACGGTTTATATTTTGACAGTATGGTTTTGCTTTACTTTTATTTTATTTTATTTTTTTTTACATCTGAATTAATATTTATGTCAATTAAGCTTATTATAATTAACTAAAACAAAAAAAATAACACTAAAACCACGTATGAAAATAAAAAACACACACAAAGAAAACTGTTTAGTTAATGGAAAATAGTAATTAATTTGAAAAAGAAATTAGAAAAAAGGAAACAAAAACAACTGAAAGCACATCTTGTTATTATCAAAATAACTCAAATTAAATTAAAAAAATTTTTTTTTTTAATTTAGTCTTTGGTCACTAACAGCACTAGGAGAGTTTGCGGTGAATGTTTAATAAGACTGGGATGTCTATTTTCTATTTAACTTCTTAAGTCTTAGGATCCTACAAAGAGCATCCGTACGATGGTAAAGAAAACCTAAACTACTGAAAAACTGTTGTGACGAATAAGTACGAATCAGGTGGGCTTAACATCTTAGACTTTTCTACTTTAAATAACACTTTCAAAATTAATTGGGCTAAACATTTTCTTAAAAACCCTACCTCTATCTGGAACTTTATACCATATC